CCTCCTGCTGCTGCCTCTGCCCACTGAAAATAGGAAATATGATGCTTAATAAACTCGCTTGGCATAAACCAGCAGCTTATGCAAGACTTTCTGGTTCCAGATATTCCTTTTGTCTTCTTCTCATCTTTATTTCTCCTCCCCAGGCCTTCCATTCAATAACTCACCATTCGGTACCCTTTATTGCTACTGGTTTGGGTTGTTGCGTTCTTATTTTTGTTCAATCCTCAGAGGAAATTCTTGGGATAGACTCAGTGGCACAATGACATCAATTTTAATAAACCCTTTGACAAGCATCCACAAATGTTCTCTAGGGCAGCATTTAGTGTGCAACGTGCCATGCTCACTTTTAGGTCCTAGAAATTACCATGGGGGCTACACTACAGAAAGCTTGGAACTGATGAGACTCTGTCTTGCGCTTCCTTTCTGGGGTTTCCTTTAGTGTAAATGTCACTATAAGCTATCTTCTGGCCTTAATGAGCTGCCATCATCAATGTATTTCCATAAACAAAGGTGAAATCAACTGTGTAGTCAATAAGTAAACACTGTCCCACCAGTATAAACTCCTGGGTATCAGTCATGGGGCTATTTTTAGAGATATATGACACCAAATATCCTTTCTTTTAAGGATAATTTAATTTTCTAATTTTTTAAGCAAGAGGAAGTTGCTGGAAATTTCAAAATCATTCACATTTATTTCCTGAGGAAGTAGATCTGCTTTCTCATGCTTAGGAAAGTACCAACACATTTTTATGTAAAAGAAAACCTATTTGGAAGCCTCCTGAGGCCTGAATAATGGGCACTGGGGAACACATCCCAGCCATCCATCCCATCCAGAGACTGCTAGCATCCTAGTCCCTCCTCCACCCACAGGAGGAGGTAAGCTTGGGCCTGTTTCCAGTCCACCTTCCTTACCCTAGTCAGAGCCTCCTGAGACCTGGGGACTGACACTGGGGAACCCATCCCTGCCATCCATCCCATCCAGAGACTGCCAGCATCCTAGTCCCACCTCCACCCACGGGAAGAGGAGAGCCAACAAAGTACTGGACCTGATTGTACCCACCTGAAGAGAACCTTGGACCCGTACCCACCAAGAGAAATTAGAGAAACATTACCCATTACAATTGCCACAAACAACATAAAATACCATGGGGTAACACTAACCAAACAAGTGAAAAACCTGTATAATAAGAACGTTGAGTCTTTAAAGAAAGAAATTAAAGAAGATACCAGAAAATGGAAAGTTCTCCCTTGCTCTTGGATAGGTAGGATCAACATAATAAAAATGGCAATCTTGCCAAAAGCAATCTACAGATTCAATGCAATCCCTATCAAAACACCAGCACAATTCTTCACAGACCTTGAAAGAACAATAATCAACTTTCTATGGAAAAACAAAAGGCCCAGGATAGCCAAAACTCCCCTATACAACATCACTGACTTCAAGTTATATTACAGAGCTATAGTCCTGAAAACAGCTTGGTATTGGCACAAAAATAGACAGGTAGACCAATGGAACCGAATTGAAAACCCTGATTTTAACCCACACACCTATGAACACTTGATTTTTGACAAAGAAGCTAAAACTATACAATGGAAAAAAGAAAGCATCTTCAACAACTGGTGGTGACATAACTGGATATTGGCATGCAGAAGACTGCAGATAGATCCATGTCTATCACCTTGCACAAAACCTAAGTCCAAATTGATCAAAGACCTCAACATAAATCCAGCCACACTGAAACTCTTAGAAGAGAAAGTGGGAGATACTCTTCAACGAGTTGGTACAGGAGACCACTTCCTGAACATAACACCAGTAGCACAGACACTAAGATTGACAATTAACAAATGGGACCTCCTGAAACTAAGAAGCTTCTGTAAGGAAAGGACACAGTCAACAAGACAAAAAGGCAGTCCACAAAATGGGAAAAGACATTCACTAACCCCATATCTGACAGAGGGCTGATCTCCAAAATTTACAAAGAACTCAAGAAGCAAGTCTCCAAAACAGCAAAGGATGCAATTAAGAAGTAGGGTATAGAACTAAATAGAGAATTCTCAATAGTGGAGTCTAAAATGGCTGAGAGGCACTTGAGAAAGAGCTCAACATCCTTAGTCATCAGGGAAATGCAAATCAAAACAACTCTGAGATACCATCTCACCCCTGTCAGAATGGCTAAAATCAAAAAACACCAATGACAATTTATGCTGGAGAGGATGTGGAGAGAGGGGAACACTCCTCCATTGCTGGTGGAGTGCCAACTCATAAACCCACTTTGGAAATCAGTATGGAGATTACTCAGGAAAATGGGAATCCATCTACCACAAGACCCAGCAATTCCACTCTTAGGCATATATCCAAAAGATGCATATTCATACAACAAGGACGTATGTTCCACTATGTTCATAGCAGCATTATTTGTAATAGCCAGAACCTGGAAGCAACCTAGATGCCCCTCAACTAAAGAGTGGATAGAGAAAATTTGGTACATTTACACAATAGAGTACTACTCAGCGGGAAAAAAAATGGAATCTTGAAATTTGCAGGCAAATGGGTGGCACTAGAAGAAAACATCCTGAGTGAGGTAACCCAGTCACAAAAATGCAAACATGGTATGTACTCACTCATATATGGATTTTAGACATAGAGCAAAGGATTACCAGCCTACAATCCACACTTTCAGAGAAGCTAGGAAACAAGGAGGACCCTAAAAGAGACATACATGGTCCCCCGGAGAAGGAGAAAGGGACAAGATCTCCTGAGCTAATTGGGAGCATGGGGGGAGGGGAGAGCGAGTTAGGAGAGACAAGGAGAAGAGAAAGGAAGAGGAGGACATGGGGAAGCAGGAAGATTGAGTCAGGGGAAGAATAGAGAAGAGCATGAAAAGAGATACCATAATAGAGGGACCCATTATAGGTTTAAAGAGAAATCTGGCACTAGGGAAATGTCCAAAGGTCTACAAGATGAACAAAACTAAGAATATAAGCAATAGTGGAGTGGCTACCTTAAATGCCCTTCTTTGATAATGAGATTGGTAACTACCTTATATGCTATCCTAGAGCCTTCATCCAGTAGCTGATGGAAGCAGAAGCAGATACCCACAGCTAAACACTGAGCTGAACTCCTGGAATCCAGTTGCAGAGAGGAAGGAGTGATGAGCAAAGGGGTCAATACCAGGCTGGAGAAACTCACAGAAACAGATGACCTGAACAAGGGGGACCTGAGACTGATAGCTTGGAAACCAGCATAGGACTGACCTAGACCCCCTGAAAATGGGGGTCAGTTGGGAGGTGTGGGAAATCTATGGGGCTTCTAGTAGTGGATCGGTATTTATCCCTTCTATATGAATGGACTTTGGGAACCCATTCCACAAAGAGGGATACTCTCTCAGCCTAGACACACAAGGGAGGGCCTAGGCCCTGCTCCAAATGATATGACAGACTTTGAAGATTCCCCCATGGAAGGCCTCACCCTCCCTGGAGAGCAGAAAGGGGATGGGATAAGGAGTTGGTAGTGAACAGAGAAGGAGGGGAGGAAGAGGTAACAGGGATTGACATGTAAAACAGGCTTGTTTCTCATTTAAATATAAAAAAGAAATAAAAACTATTTGACCACTGGTCACCATCACAACACCAATAGCACAGGCTTGGCCAGCTCCTCATGATACAGCAGGCACTTTGCCCCAAGTCACTCTTCTTTGATCTTCAGAAGATCTGCATGAGGTTCATTTTACTGTTATCACTAATACTGACTCAAGAGTCTTATTAATATATCACATGCACACAAACACACACACACACACACACACACACAAGTGAAAGCAAGAAAAACATTATAGAGTATTAGGCCTCTAAAAGTGACCACTGTCTTGAAATTTAGAGATGGACATTGTTATCAGATGAATTAGGAATGAGGGCTAGATACAAAATAGTGATGCACAAGTCAATAGCAGTATCTACTGTATGAACCTATAAGTTTCAGCATCAGGTACCATTAACCAATAATATTTAAAAAGGAGGGATAGTGATTTTCTGGGGAAGAAGGGACAGCTAGAAAAGGAGTGTGAGTAGACCTCTGAGACAGAAGAAAGCGTGGCATGTTTGATCTGTGTGGTGACCACCTTCGACTTATATTCATTCAGTCATACACCAAATGTTCTTGTGTTTATGAACTCTCCAGTATCATATCCTTTTTCATTCCCTTGCTTCTGCAATCCAAATCAGTGGGAATTTTGAAGTAGATTTTAAAATTGACATAAGAAGATTACCATTATATTTCTGAATGAAATACAAAGGAAAAGTAAGTAAATAAGTAGAGGGTATTATTTTTGCCAATAACACAAGTAGCAATATGGCACGCAGTTCCCTGTCACAAGTAAATGATGAAGATGTGCAGAAAAGGAGTCCATCTGGATAAACCATGGGATGTAATTTGTCAAGAAACACTCCGCATCCTAATAATGGGGTTACTTACATATGAGGATGGCATGGGGTTTGATGGCAGTGTTCTCAAAGAGACTCTGGTGTTCTTAAAATTTTCATTTGTTTCAAGAAATCTACTGATTCAGACCTGTGCATTTTTAGTTAAGAATAAACATTATTTTTAAACTCAAAATGCTTCTGTAATTTGATCTATTTTTTTTTAATCTAAGGATTCCCTGGTATTTTTTCGGAGACATCAAAATCAGGAATTCCCAGTGTAGCTGAGCAGATGGGTACATGATAAGTATGTGTGTGGCTCTGGGTTTGAACCCCAGCAAGCAACCCAAAAAAGGAAAGTGCTTTATCCAAAGCTGAGTGCTTTGTGTACTAAGTGGTAGGTCCACGTAGCTGTGTATCCAAGCTGTATGATCTATAGGAAATATCAGACCACTTTACAGTGAATAGGCAAACTTAGCCTATGCGTTCCTGAGTAAGGAGAACTCACTTCACAGATTCGGATGCTCGCACGGCGATTCCTCTGTATTCTTGAGTGGGCATCCGTTACTGTTTCAACTGTTCAGAATCCAGAGGATCAGGCTGTTGATTGCAGTTACAGCACACCTCACTCACTAGGAACTACCTGTGATCAGTCTCTTTAAGAAGCTTAGCCAAGGAAAATTGCCACAAGAGAGGTAGGATGACTACTGACATTTTAGCAATTCTGATGACTTAATGAGCATGACTGCTAACTATCAGTGACATTCCTCTCATGCCTGTGACCATTTGCCATGAGCTTCAGTCTGTGAGGCTGAAATGAACTTTTCCCTTTGAGCAAGAGGAGGATTTTTGAAAGACTTAACCTAAAAGTATCACTTACCTCGATTCATATTTTGGCTGAAGCAACTGTAGTTAAAAGGGAAGTGAAGAGAGACTGAGACATTGATTAAAAAACAAAAAAAGATATCTAAATTCCAGAACTAGGAATGGCTTTACAGTTATATTTATAAAGAAGGGTGCCTTAAATTTTTCCTCCTTCACAAAATAAATACATGTATGCTTTCTTAATGGAAAGAAAATGTGGCTAAGCCAGTATCTCCCCTTTAAACGGCTACCATGTGCCTGTTTGTCTTCCTCAGGAAGAGGAGATGGCTCAACCTTCCTGTCCTTCTCCCTTTCTTTGGCCTGCAAATCTACGCATGAGGACTGCCATTGCTGGGGTTTTTATCTTATCCTGCCTCTTAAGTGGTAAGTTAAGAGAAAGGAAGAATCAAATGGAGGACAGCTGGTTAAGAACATGAAGAGTCCCTGAATCTGGGTGTCAGTGAGGAGGCCTAGGGAATCTATTGAGCCTTGGGCAGCAGATCAGTACCCATCCCAAGTATACACACGGACTTTGGACTCCCATAGAACAATGTGAGGTGCACTCTCACCCTGAACTCTTGGGGAAGGGTCTAGGCCCTGCCCTATATGAAATGACAGACTATGGACACCCCCATGGAGGGCCTCACCCTCCCTGGGGGAATGAGGGGATAAGGGGGGGGTTGGGGGGAGGGCACGGGAGGAGGGGAGGGAATGGGAGAGGGACCTGGAACTGTCTTGTGAAGCAACCTCGTTTCTTATCTAAATTTAAACTGGAAAATAAAATAAAATAAAAAATAAAAAAAAAGAACATGAAGAGTTACAATATGTGTGAGTGGAAAGTGACTTAAATGAGGTGACTGGGGAAGTGTGATTGTAGAAGCTGCCATCTCTTGCTTCCTTTAAACCTCCTCTTGGGTTAATTATCTTCTTTCCATGAGATACCGTGAGGCTCTGGATACTGAGAACAAGACCTAATCCCTGAACATTTAGTGATCAGATTCAATCCTAAAGGTTCATTTAGTCCTTGCTATACATGAGGTATTTTTTTTTCATTTTATAGAGGAAGAAACTGTATCAGTAAACAGTGTATGGAAGAGATGTGTAAGTAGAACATGCAACACAGACCTTCTGGTTCCTACACTTCTCTCAGTAGATGCAGGATGCAGCTCAGGTCTGTGCTGCATTTTTTACTTATACATCATCGAGAGGAGCATGTGAAAGATGAAATAGCACAAGAAAACATTTTCAGTGGCTAGGATATTATGAAAAAGTCATTTGGTAAAAGAAGGAAGGTGCTAGATATTATCATGTTAAAAAAATAGCCAGACCCACAACAAACAGCTTATTTGTATTGTAGATTTTTACACTCTGTGTGTGTGTGAGAGAGAGAGAAACAGAGAGAGGGGAGACCATTTGTGAAGAAGAGGACATGTTAGGAGGGGTGGGGTGAGAGGTGGGGAAGAGGGAGGTAATGCAGAGGTGAATATGAACAGAGTACATTGATCTATATATATGAAAATGTCATAATGACACCCATATCTTTGTGTGCTAATTAAATATTAATAATAAAATCCACATTTTAAATAATTCAGAGGATTGCATTACTTTTTCTGCACACAAAGGAAGATGTGAATAGAAACCAGCATCAAAAGAAGTGTTCTTGTTGGTAGTCACAAGAGCTCCTGCCTCAGTCCTCCTATGCTTTCAAAGAAGGTTTGAGTAAGGAGGTGGGTCTCTGTAAGAGGAAACCACCATCAGGGAGTCCCTGAAAAGTGGTTGGCCCAGTAATCCAGCAGATCTTTAGCAAGAGGAGGGGAGGGGAGGCCTGGGACACATGAAAGGCTGGCAGCTTCACGGCCTCAGAATTACTGCCAAGAATAAGGGCTTAGGTAGTGTCTCTTCCACTTATGAAAGCTACTAAGACTTGTTTGGGGGAAATATTGGCAAGCATAATTCCTGGCTGAAACATAATTTTTTTTAAATAATTGGGCTAATGCATGTAAATTACTTAGCAGATTCCTAGGCATAAACTCCATTTTTTGTTATTGTTTATTTGTGAGTTTGTATTTTAATTACAACATTTTTCACTTTCCTTTTTTCCCTCCAAACCCTCCTGTATACCCATCCCCATTTCTTCTTGAAATTCATGGCTTCAGTCATTATAGCATGCATATCCACACAAAAATATATTTGTTAATTGATCTGACTAAAGGTTCTCATTACCCAGACTGTCTTCTATTGAAAGTCACCTTAGTTGTAGCAAAGGAAGAAAAAATACATTATATTATATATCTAGTAAGTTCTTATATGAGTTATTAGTAAATAAAAGTAACATGACAGTGGTAATTATATATTGAAAGGGGAAAATGCCAGATATGGTGGTGCACGCCTTTAACCCCAGCAATCAGGGGCAGAGGCAACAAGATTTCTGTGAGTTCAAGGCCACCCTGATCTACAGAGAGCACATTCCTGACCAGCCAAAGCTACAGGCTACATAGTGAGACCCTAGCCAAAAAAGAAAAAAAAAAAAGGAAGGAAGGAAAGGGAAAGTATGAACACAAGGCCAAACTTCAAAATCTTTGAACCATCCGAGTTACTCTTTTTTTTTATTTTTAAGTTTAAATTTAGATTAGAAACAAGGTTGCTTCACTAGTCAGTTCCAGGTCCCTCTCCCTTTCTCTCCCCTCCTCCCATGCCTTTCCCCCAACCCCCCCATTATCCCCTTATTTCCCCAGGAAGGGTGAGGCCCTCCATGGGGGTGTCCATAGCCTGTCATTTCATCCAGGGCAGGGCCTAGACCCTCCCCCAAGAGTTCAGGGTGAGAGTGCATCTCACATTGTTGGATGGGAGTCCAAAGTCCATGTGTATACGGAGTTACTCTTAACAGTAACAAGCTTTCTGTCATTGGCCAAGGAAACCATCGATGATTCCTGAACTGAGAGACCTTATTCTCCAGCACCAATCCAGACATCTGTGTCCCCACTCTATCCAAGCTATCACTGCACATCTGAAATGCAGATTCATGGAATCAACTTCCCATGCATTCTAATTCAAGTCTTCCGGGCACACAGAAATCTATTTCAGTCACTCATCTATATCTGATGCACTCAGAAACTGGGAACTAATATTCTATGCACTGCCTAAATCCAAAAATCTCTGAGCTAGTTGTACATAATCAAATGAGCAACATTATTGAACAAATGAATTTAAGTACGAAGGATAACCAATAAGTAAGCATTAATTAAGTAATGAATATTCGGGTGTATAATATACTGCCGTAGGCTTGGAAATGAAGACCTAGCTGTGGGTATGTGGCTGGTGAAATTGATGTTTTAATTAAGCAACAAGAAAGTGTCCTCATTTCTGATTCCTGTCAGTTAAGGGTGCTTCTGATTCATTAATGTAGCACATGCTTTGGAAATTCCCCTCATTAAATTCTCAAAATGAAATGATCTTAATTTATGTGGATTTTTACAATAAACTTTTAAGCATTGCTTACTGTTTAAAGCTGAAAATCACTGATATTCTTGGATCCCTCTCTCCTTCTCACTCTCCCTTTGCTCTGCTCACTCTGGTCTCCATCACAATTGCCCCTTTCTTTGCTGTACTTGGAGGTGTCGGAGGTGTGATTTGCAGGTCATGCAATCTGTCCATCCCATTCCATGGATGTCTGTTAGACCTTGGAACCTGCAGAACAAAGCCTGGTCAGTATTGTATAAAAGAGATCCTCGCTAAAGGTAAGTCTTGATGCTTAGAAGTACAGAGATAATCCTTTTTATCACCTGCTAACACCAGCCATATACCCAATGTTATAATGAGGACTTGACCAGGACTACATTACTCCAATCACACAATGATATGACCTGGATGGATCCCATCACTAATCCCCCTATCCAAAACCCCTTACTCACTTATTTTTCGCTTACTGGAAGTTGAAACCAAGGCTATACACATGGCAAGCACTCAACATCTAAGCTATGTTCATAGCTCATTATTCCCATTTTAAAGATGTATCTATACATTATTCATACACATATATGTGTGTGCATGTATAGACTTATATACATTACATGCTCGCAGGAGCTTCTGAAAGTCAGAAGAGGGCACTGAATCCTCTAGAAATGGAGTTACAGGATGTGGGCTACCATATGAGCACAAGGGATGTGACCTGGGTTATCTCTCCACTGTCTCCAGTTTTGAAATGAAAAATTGGAGGCACATAAAGATTAAATAATGTTTCAAAGTTACTGGTAAATGAGTATGGTAGCCAAAATTCAAATACAAGTACTTTGACCCCAAAAATATTAATAAATCTCCATGTAGCCTCATTTACAACATTCACATCTCAGAAAACATTAGTAGATTATTTGCAGAGTTTTCTAAATGCAGGTTCCTATGCAACTGCACAGATTTCGTGTTAAACACTAAAATCAAATGCTGACAAAATTAGAAGTAAAGGCTGGTGAACACATTTCAAGTTTGAAAGAGAGGAGGCCCCTTTAACATCCAAAACCCAAAAGTCATAAAGAACACAATTGATTTCAATATGTCCATAGTATAATCTGTGAAATAAATGATAATGTTAAATAATAAGTAAGTGTGAAAGACAAAGAACTAATTAGCTGGAAATAATAAAAAGAAATGAATTATAGAAAAGCATATCATTACCTATGCAGAAAAATGATTTCTAAAACTCTCTTGTTAAAGAGAAGCAGGGACTAGGTAGACTGTTCAGCAAAGTGCATGGAGAGATGAATTCAGATCCCAAAAATCCAACTAAAAAAGACAGACTTGATAGTGTGAGCATGTATTCCACTGAGATCAGAGCCAGGCAGATCCAAGAAACTCACTGGCCGGCCAGCCTGGCTGAATCAATGAACATAAAGCCCAGAAAGACACCCAGCATCCCAAAGTAAGATAGTGATGGAGGAAAGATATCTGATATTAACCTCTGACCTCCACACATGCATGTACATGCACAAACACAGACATACATACACTAGCAAGAACACATACCATACACCAAACATACAACACACATATACAAAACCAACTATCAGGGAAAAATAAAACATGAAGGCAATACTTGGCACAGTGAATGAACATGAAACAAACCAAAAGGCAATTTAACTTTGCTAGTAAAAATTAAGGCAATGTGAAGTATAGAAAAAAAAGTAACACATTTAGTCCACAAGATCGATAATAAAAATGTCTTATTATACAAAGGATAATTGCATACACTAAATAAATGAAGGCAAAATATTCTTTTAATAAATGGCCTCAATGCTCACATACAGGAAGCGGTTGGACTATGTTGTATCCAAATCTTGCAATACATTCTGCTATGTAGCATGTATTAGATCTACTTGTTAATAAATATCTAAACTGTTGTCGAGTGGGATGAAATCAATTGCAAATTAATACACAAAGTGGTCTACATAGAAACAGAAATCAGCAAAGTCAAACATCATGGAATTGTAAGGAAAGAACAAAAATCAGTGGGCATCAAAGTTATGCAACAGAGAGGAAGAGCCACAATTCCCACCTCAAGGGGATTGGTATTAAGAAGCATCTGGGTTCTGTCAATCTTCATAGCCTACCTGCCCTGTAACTTTGAACTTTGCTATTCAAAGTCTCTCTGTTACTGGTGGAGAAATGTCCCAAAGCCCCTCAGAGCCAAGGACATTGGTTCTCTGACACCACTCTTCCACTCTTAAATTGTGGTCATTCATACTTACATAACAATTAAGGGATTCTGTGCATAGACTAGAGCCTGAGAGCTTGTCTAGAAAAATACTAACAACTGCCTGTGGTGGATCAATGGCCTGGAGTGGCTCTGTTATGTGTGCCACTTCTCACTGATAGGGATTAAACAGAATTGAACGTTACATTTTAATGTGGCTTTATCAATAGCTTTTCAGCAGTGGCAGTTGTGGAAGATTAATACTTTGTTGTGGGGGATAGTTGCTAAGGCTTGGATCTCGAATGTCCCCCAAAGGCCCATGTCTTACTGGCCTGCTCTCCAGCCTTTAGCACAATTGGGAAATGCTGGAACCCTTAGGAGGCAGGGCCTAGAGGAAAGAAGTTACGCCTCAGGGCATGTGCTATTGAAGGAAATAATGAGTTCTCAGCCTTCTCTTTCTGTTTCCTGAACACCATGGGGTGTGTGGCTTCCTTGGTCACACTCTCCCTCTATGGTTATATTGGCCAAAAAAGCAACAAGGCCAAGAAACCATGGACTGGGACCTTTGAAACTGTGAGCCAAAACAAACCATTGTTGGCTTTTTTTTTTCTTCAACTCACCTCAGGTGTTTTGTCACAGGACAGGGTGGTGAGCAACACAGGAATGTCTATCATTATGGAGTATATAGCAATCCCTAGCCTTTTGTTCCTATATGCCCAGAAAAGATGTCCCCTGCTGCCCTACCCAACTGTGATAGCAGAAGTCTCTGAGCTGCAGCTTACATCCTGGGTTTGGGGAAGCAAAAACATCTCTGGCTGAGGAAGCACTTTTGTCTGTGTTGCTCTGGGGCGCTCATCAGTCCTCCTGGCTCATCTGAAGCTGGGGCAGTAGGACCGTGGCACTACCAGAGCTTGCTTTACACTTAGTCTCTTTGCACACGTTCTACGGTGATTTAAGCAACGGGTAAAGGCCAGGTATGGTGGTACACACTTGCAACCCCACAGCCCAATTGACTGAAGCAGGAGAATTGAGAACTGAAGGGCAGCCTACACTACATAGCAAGTCCCTGTTTGAAAACAAAGAAACAAACGCAAAGCAGAAAACTAGTGGAGTTACGTATGGTAAGATTCCATCTCCAGGAAGCACTTACTAGAATACCATTGTGCAGATTCGGCCTTTTGGTTAAGTTACAAACCTGAGTGATGCAGGGATTGGTTATGAGCAAGCTCCCCCACAGCTAACACAGCCAAGACGTCCAGCAAAAAACTGAGGTTGTTTTGCCGTTCTGAAGCATGTGTACTACAAAGTTCTCAGCTCAGGTAGTTTACCTGGGAGTTCTTAAAGGCGGGATGAGGGAACCACTCCTCATGGTAGGAAGTCTAGATTCCTATCTTGGTAAAGCTGAAGATTTCACCTGGACTTTTATTTTCACCCGTTTCCTGTGTGAAGCATGCAAGGCCAGGTGAGCGGCACCATCTTCAAACACCCACCCATCTCAGCATCTTTTCTTTCTTCAGGCGGAATCCAGTGGTATTCGGTTAAAGGCTGCACCGAGGACAAATCAGAGTGCTTCAAGAGAATCGTGAAGAATTACGAAATCCGCTCTAGTCACTGCTGCCACCAGCCCCTGTGCAACTTCTGAGGAAGCAGCCTATATCCTTGTCACTAGACCAGTCAGGCAGATCTGAAGCCTGGCCTGATCTTCATGTGATGGCCGCCGTCATGTAGGTGCTTAGGGCCATGGTCAGAAGCTGACTTTGACATTCACTACTTCTATATCCCCCCCAGCCCCTCCCCACAGTCTCCTGTGTATCTCACAAGAGCTCTGTGTTAAAGAGCTTTGTTTCTGTTGCTGCGATAAAATACTTTGATAAGGAGAAATTCAGGGAGGAAAGGGTTTACTCGGCTTGTACTTCCAAGTCACCGTCCATCACTGAGGAAAATCAGGGCAGGAACGCAAGGCCAGAACCTGGAGGCAGGAATTGAAGCAGAGGCCACTGAGGAACAATGCTTACTGGTTTGTTCCTCATAGCTGGCTCCTTTTGCCTTCTTATATGTCCCAGATGCCCCAGGGACAGTACCACTAATCAATCAAGAAAATGCTCCCATAGACCTGCCCTCAGGTCAATCTGATGGAGACATTTCCTTACCTGAAGCTCCCTCTTCCCAAGTGACTCCAGCTTAGGTCAAGTTGACCCCAGATCCCCAAAATAATCCTTTCACCATCATATCTTCCCCTGCTTCTGCTTCTTTCCCCACTTGTGGTGTTAGCAAGGTGACAGAGAAGCAAAATGACCATGGCTCTCCAAGCCAAACCAGACACATAGTCTCTAATTAGCTTATGTCCCTAAACATTTCCACACTAACAAGTGTGGATGCTGACAAGTGAATTACATCACTGGACCCAGAGTGAATGTGGTTTATGGGAGAAACTTGCAGATCCCATAAAAAATGATATGCCACAAATCAGCAAACCAGGCCTTTGGGGATGGGAACCCCAACAGCAAAGGCCAAAGGCAGGCGGGAAGACCACCGCCTCAGTTCTTCCTTCTGCGTCAGGACTGGCCCAGATGCTGGGTTTCCATAGTTAACCCATGCCCACGTGCTTGTCTGCTGCAGGTCAATCAAACGATCCCAGACAAGCAGGGCTGGGTGCTCACTCTCAGGGAATCCAAGAGCCTTGTCTGACATTGGGTTTCTGTTCTGCCCATTCTGTGCCTTCTTCCTGCAGCCTGAGCACACTCTTACTTTACAATCACCCTTGGACTTCTCTGCATGTTTGGGGGTTTGAAAAATACCAAAATCTTCTTGTCCTTTTCTAAGGACTTAGGATCTCTACTGTCCTGCAAGCTATGTTTTTCTAAAAACTTTGAAGAAAAAAATTTTAAATGCAATTGTAGGCAGGTATGATGGTAAATGCTTGTTACTCCAACATACAGGAAGCAAGGGCTGGACAATCAGAAATCAGGCCATGAAGCACAACCTTGTCTCAAAACAAAACAAACAGTAAACTAAAGCCTAAGACAGACTTCCCCCACACGTCAGCTTGATTCCTTAGATCCTATTTCTGAAACTAAGAAAACAACATCTTCATCTTTAATCACCCCATTCTGTCATTTTTTAAAAATCATCAGTAAACAGCTGTTGCCTCAGATCAGCAAACTTTTCTTGTGCTTTTGAAAATGTCCTGTCACCAACTCAATGTCATGGGGGCGAATGCCAAGCTTACACAGCCAGTGGCCCCTGACAGAGGCTTCCCCAACACAGTCACAGTCTCTGGAATGCCACAAGAAAAGAATTAGGAAATAAGTGCTCACCTGCTTGGCGAGCCATGTGAGTTTCTCCTCCACACAGAATGACTCCATGAAGACCTTTCCTCCCCAGAGGCCGCTCTGTCTTCTCTCCTCCAGGTTGGCCCCTCAGAACCTCATCCTCTTCACACATAAAATGAAGTGGAGTGGCTCACATAATATCTTAAGATAGTCTCACGTCCAAAGTCAGAGTCCTGACACTTTATCTCTTTGTTTCCTTAGATACAAACACGACAGTAGACTGACCACAATAAGGTAGACCCAGGTCTGACAATGTTCATCCTACTCTGCATAATCCAGGAAACTGGGCAGAGAAATGCATGCCATGAGTAAAACAAATGCCATTGATGTAGCTGACTGGTACAACAATACCAACCCCAAAGTCACCATGGCAACAAAAATAAGCCATACAATACTGGTGTGTAAAGCAGAATGCGACCCCATAAAGATGTCAATGCTCTAGTCTCTATGAATGTGCTTCCTTGACAAAATAGCTTTGTGTAGATGTGTTTAAATGAAGGACTATACGATCAGTTACTTGACGGAATCACGAAAGTCTAAGAGGGAGGGGAGATGTGATGAAGAATGTTTAGGTCACAGGTTGGTGGATGCTTCATGGCTGGTTTGGAGGGTAAAGGAAGGTCACAAGTCAAGGAAGGAATTTCGGCAGCCTGTACAAGCTGAGAAAGGACACATCTCTGCTACAGCTTCCATCAGAATGCAGCCTGAAGGACCCAGGACACTGTCTAAGTTTCCTCCCTCGGGGTCTGTGAGATACTAAATTTATTTGTGTGTGTGTGTGTGTGTGTGTGTGTGTGTGTGTGAGAGAGAGAGAGAGAGAGAGAGACAGAGACAGAGACAGAGACAGAGACAGAGAGAGAAGGGGGAGGGAGAGAAAGGGAGAGATTGCCTCGATATGAGTCTATAAGTCAGTTGTCAACATTGAAGTGGGTTCTCACTAGCTGATTGTTTCTGCCGCCCTCTACTGCCTTTGCTTCCCATCTGAACTTGGGGGCCCTGGGATTAGAGCGGTATGCCATGTGTCCAGTCTTGCACTTGGGTTCTAAGGGCTGGCCTCAGGTTGCCAGGCTTGTGTGTCAAGCCCTTTTCTCTGTGAGCCATCTCCCCAGGCATGCCTTTTATTTTTAACATGGTCATTCATTACAGCCACAGGAGAAATAAGAACCCTTGAACATATGGAATATGATATACCATGTCCTCTGCCTATCTCTTAATCTTGAGTCCTAGGATTAAAGATGTGGACCACTACCTCCTAGCTTCTTGCTGCTGGGATTAAAGGTGTGTGACTGTCTTCTATGGTTTGTGGCTGACTTTGCTTTCTTAATCCTCAGGCAAGCTTTAATAAATCATAAGTAATATATCACTGCATAATATACCCCCTGTGATAATGAAATAGAAATCTCAGTGGTTAAAGCTTTTCATTTCTTTAAAAGGAAAGTCTTGGGGCTGGGGATTAGAGCCAGGAAGGTGCTTGCCACCAAGCATGAGGAGTTGAGTTCAGATCCCCAGCATCCATGTAAACAGTTGGAAGCAATACCTGTGGTCCTAGAATGTGGGAGGTAGAGATACACATTCCCATGGGCCTTGCTGGCTAGCCAGTCCATCTGAATCGTAAGTGCCTCGTTCGGGGAAAGAACCTACCTCAAAAAATAAGGTAGAGAACCATTAAGAAAGTCATCTGGAGCTGGATGGCGGTGACACCCACTTTTAATCCCAGCACTCTGAGAGACAGAGGCAGGTGGAGCTCTGAGTTCAAGGCCAGCCTGGTCTACAAAGCAAGTTCCAGGACAGCCAGGGATGTTACAAGAGAAACCTTGTCTCAAAAACAACAAAAAAAAGTTACCTGATAGCCATCTCTGACCTCTATATTCACAAACCTGTGTGCACACACAAATAATTTTTTAAAGGCAGTTCTCAATGGTTGATCAATTGGAGGCCTCCAGAGAAAGCAGCAGGCCTATACCTGAGACAGTCTCAGCGAGCAAGGGATAAACATTTTACCTCCCAGAATCTAGCTGTTAGGTTTTCTAAAATTCCAGAGATCATGATTTTTTTTTTATAAAGAGCTGGGACTGAGTTCCCCAATAGTACTCACGAGTATAAAGCCCCTGCGGGCCAAGTGAGAGTGGAAACTGCAGGTGGCAGGCTTTGTGATCCTCGCAAATGCCCATTCCTAGAGACTCTGGGTAGCAGCTGAGCTGCTGAGATACACTAGCATCCCTTAGTCTATGCTGGAAGCCTCTTAGAAACATCACTCAGACTGCATGGAAGAAATGAAGGGCAGCTAAGCAATACAAGGAAGCAGAATGTTGTGGGTTGACCCCTCTCTGGATGGAGATGTAGGTCGGTGTTTTACTCATAGCTTCCTGCTCAAGCATCCCTACACATTCCCCACACCTAGAGTTAATAGCTCTGCCACTGTGCATGATATAATATATATATGGGCTGGAGAGTAACTCAGCAGTTAAAAGTGCATTCCACTTTTGCAGAAGACAGAGTTCAGTTCCCAGTGCCCACATGCAGAGCTCACAAACACTAACAGTCCTGCTCCAAGGACCAGATGCCCTCTTCTGGTCTCTGCAGGCACCTGCACTCATGTGCAAATCCCCCCCCCCACACACACACACAAACACTAAGAGACACTACACATACAATTAAAAATAAACTTAAAAAATTTTTTGCTAAAATTCCTTCCTAAGAGGTAAACAATATCCACCCCTCCTCCTAAAGCCCCAGTGACAAACTGGGGTGCAACTCTACCAAAGTTCACCCAGGAATCCAGACTGCTAGGCTTCCTTGCACAGCAATGGGTGGGGAGTTATAGGGAGGCAACAGATTACCATAAGGCAATCACACTGGAAGGTCCGCACCCAGCAGGAGTCATGGCTTCCGTCCACCGCTGGCTAACAAACTCGTTCCCTCAACACCCCCAACATAAAGCCTCTAGCCCCTCTTGCAGGACCACGAGCAGTAAGGGAAGAATTACATAGGACTGGTTGGGAGGGGTGGCTGGGTACCCAGGTAAGGATCCCATGACCTTCTCCTTCCCCTGCATCTACAAAGGACGATCAACAATCAAGAGACCCTTCAGAACTCCTGAGGATGGTGGGAGTTTGGCTCGGAGAATAATCCTTCCTGTACTACAAAAGGTCTATACTAGAATGTCCAGAACCAGCAACTTCGGTATCATTTTCTAGTTGTGCATCTGCCGGAACAATTGGTCTTCCCTGCTGAGAACCGCTTTCAACCAATCTTGTGCCTCTGCTCTCAGGCCTGTGATTTCAAACCTTGTAAACAGACCTTGCGTTCATGCTTTGCCTCCTTGCTGCCTGAGCTGGCTGGCTCTGCCATCTGGTGGTCAATAGTAGTAACTGTATGCCCCATCAATCCAGGGGACCTCTACTAGATTTCCTTGTAGATCCCAAAGTCGTGTATACCGTTTTGTTTTTGTGACATGATTTGTGTATACATGAACCAGAGTCTGTAGTAGCACCCATGTAAAAGCTTTGAAGTCCGACAAAAGAGACAAATTTAAACTTAAGAATGGGGGTGGGGAGCTTCTTGGGGCCCTAGTAAATTCACTTGGCACATTAGACTGTGTAGCCCTGAAGTTCATAAAACAGCTGTAGCAGTCCACAGCTGTATTCTGTCCTAAACACACAACGGGCCAGCTGGGGCATGGAACCTAACTGGTCTTCTTGTCATTGTTATAACATGCAGTCTATGTTGTTGTTCTGAAAAAAAAATTATGAAGTACATCCATCCATCCTAATCTTCAAAGAGTCGAGCATGCCAGTAGGCCCAGCACATGGAAGGCTGAGACAGATGGATTGTGAGTTCCAGGACAGCCTGAGTTAAACAGTAAGTCTGAGGATAGCCCAGACTACATGTTTCAAACAAACAAAACAATCCGAGAGAAAAGCAAAACACCCATCCTAGTGTCTCATAGGTCACAAGTGCTCGGATATTGGTAGCTTCATTTGACACTATAGAATCAATGACTAGATGCCACACCATGTATCAAAGGTAATAATGTAGCAGGCTTAGAGATACATAAGGATCTGAGGGGACAGTTGGGTTCTATGACTTTTATTCATGGAGAACCCATTTAAATTTTGAAAGCATCATAGGTTGTGTCACAGAGAGTGAAAATAGATCACTGTCATACTCTTTCTCAGGGTTTCTGTTGCTATGATAAAACACCATAACCAAAAGCAACCTGGGGAGAGAAGGTTTCGTTTTTGCTGTTCCACATCACAGTCTGTCACTGATCCAGGGCAGGAACGGGGAACCATGAGCCATCAGAAGCCGTGGAGGAGTGCTGCTTATGGGCTTGCTCCTCCTGGCTTGTTCAGATGAATTCTAGCTCACCAAGTAATAGTGCATAAAATATACCTTTTTAACTGCCATGTAAGAAAGCAGTCCAGGGCTGCACTGGAAATACTCTGAACAGATCACCCATACAAGTTGTCTGCACAAATCGCAGCAGAATATTGTGAAGTGTAGATGCTAGAATTCTTAACACTTGCTGATTTAGTGGTCTTTGGGCTAAGTTTTGAGCCTCCAAAAGTTTCTATTTCCTTGTCTGTAAACCTGACAGATGATACTGTCTTGTTCTAAAGACATTGACCTCTTTCCGAAAGTACATCAGACACCCTAACCTTGTTCCTATTTCAGAAACATTGTCCTTTCTGAGGTTTTTAAGGCTCTTTTAGGGACAGTTCTGTAGATCAGTTAGTTGCTTTGCAGACATTTCCATCAGTGCTTGTCACGTGGGCTGCCATCTGATCATGATTATCCCTTAAGTTCTGCCATGCTTGAGAATGGAGTGAGAATGATTCAAATGCGGCTCCCCTCAGGAAGCCAGTAAAATATGGAGACAGGTAGAAGCCTTGAGAGGTGATTAGAGCTCTGTCCACATGAGTAATCCACTCACACAGTTAATAAATTATGAGTTAGTCAGTTGATATGCTGTCTTGAGGGGGCCTGCTCTAAAGCCAGTTGGCATGAGTTTCCCACACACTTCCTGCCTCTCTCCATGTGATGGGCTGTGCCATCATGGAACTCTACTAGCAAGAAGTCTAACACTAGATGTGGCTTTGAGTGTTGGGCCAAGAATACGTGCCAAATGAATGCCTTCTCCCCCTACCTTAGCCACTCTTGGGTACTGTATTAGAGCAACAGAGAATCAAAGATGATGTTACTGGCAACTGACATTCTGATACACAGGCTGGTCCTCCAGAAGTCATATCTGTCCAGAACACAAGCACACAGGAGCGGGGAGGCTTGTTTATTGTGTTCTTCAATACTTTAAATATTTGCAAATCGAATGTGGCATTCATCCCTCATCTTTCCATTAATTGTATTTTGCTACAGTTGCAAATTTGAAAACTCAAGCTTGTGACTCTGCTCAGAGCTTTTTTGGGAGACCTCTGGATCCATCAAG